TACCAAATGCTTTATAAATATCTCATTAAATCCCTGTAATAACTTGAGATGTACATATTATGGCTCTTACTATGTAAATGAAAAGATGAGAAGACACTCTTTTAATAATGTCTAAACCTCCATAACTGGGAAGACTTAAAAAACCAGGATAGTACCTTTTCAAGTTATCATCTGTGCTTTGGAACCACCTAATCTGATGATGGGCTTCCCAGGTGACTCAATGGTAGTAGTGAGTCTGCCTGCCAAGCAAGAGACACAGGTTTGATCCCTGAATCCAGAAGATCCCTTGGAGAAGGAAATGACCTGGTGCACTATAGTCCATGGGGTTGCAACGAGTTGAGCACAACTTAGTGACTAAACCACCACCAGTTCAGTTTAGTTGCTCAGTCTTGTCCGACTCTTTGCAACCCCATGAACCGCAGCACGCCAGGCTTCCCTGTCCATCACCAACTCCTGGAGCTTGCTCAAACTCATGTCCATTGAGTCAGTGATGCCATCGAACCATCTCATCCTCTGTCATCCCTTTCTCCTCCTGCCTTCAATCTTTCTCAGCATCAGGGTCTTTTCCAATAAGTCAGTTCTTTGCATCAGGTGGCCAAAGTAATGGAGTTTCAGCTTCAGCATCAGTCCTTCCAATGAATATTCAGGACTGATTTCCTTTAGGACTGCCTGGTTTAATCTCCTGCTGTGCACAGGACTCTCAAGAGTCTTCTCCAACACCACAGTTCAAAAACATCAATTCTTCAGCACTCAGGTTTCTTTATAGTCCAACTCTCACATCCATACTTGACTATTGGAAAAACCATAGCTTTGACTAGATGGATGTTTGTTCGCAACGTAATGTCTCTGCTTTTTAATATGCTGTCTAGGTTTGTCCTTTTCTTCCAAGGAGCAAGCGTCTTTTAATTTCATGGCTTCTGGCACCATCTGCAGTGATTTTGGAGCCCAAGAAAAGAATGTCTGTCACAGTTTCCATTGTTTCCCCATCTATTTGCCATGAAGTGATGAGACTGGATTCCATGATCTTAGTTTTTTGAATGTTGAGTTTGAAGCCAGCTTTTTCACTCTGTCCTTTCACTTTCATGAAGAGGCTCTGCAGTTCCTCTTCGTTTTCTGCTTTCAGGTGTCATCTGCATATCTGATATTATTGATATTTCTCCCAGCATTCTTGATTCCAGCTTGTGCTTCACCTAGTCTGGCATTTTGCATGATGTACTCTGCATTAAGTTAAATAAGCAGGGTGACAGTATACCACCTTGACATACTTCTTTACCAGTTTTGAACCAGTCCTTTATTCCATGTCCGGTTCTAATTGTTGCTTCTTGACCTGCATACAGATTTCTCAGGATGCAGATCAGTTGGTCTGATATTCCCATCTCTTGAAGAATTTTCCAGTTTGTTGTGATCCACACAGTCAAAGGCTTTGGCGTAGGCATTAAAGCAGAAGTAGATGTTTTTCTGGAACGCTCTTGCTTTTTCTATGATCCAGTGATTTTTAGCAATTTGATCTCTGGTTCTTCTGCCTTTTCCAAATCCAACTTGAACATCTGGAAGTTCACAGTTCAGGTACTGTTTGTTGAAGCCTTGCTTGGAGAATTTTGAGCAAACCACCACCACCAATCTGCTAATAGGTTAGCTCTTTGAATGCTAATTCACATAGAGTTTATTGAGAGAATGGTGGGTCATTAGAATCTTTGAAACATTTCATGCCTAATTAGGACTTGGGAAGATCCAAGGAATTGATTGCATATGTCCAGGGCCAGTTTTTCTGAAACAACTTTTCTGGTGTTTCAGTGTAGATTTAGTCCATCTAAGGAAAGTGGAATGACTGTGGAATGACTCTGTAAATAATTGTTTCTCAGCCTTGACTACACAAAAGAATCACCTGGGGAGCTTTAAAATGCAAATCACAGAAAAACAGAACCACTCCCACCCCCCTAAAAGCCCAATCCCCATTCTTAGATATACTTCCTCCTTCAGTTTTATAATTGACATATAATTGACGATGTACCTATATGACATATAGTTGACGATGTACAACTAATTTGATATGGGTATATATTGTGAAAAATTACCCCAGTAAGTTTAGTTACCATCCAACATCACGTCACATAGTCACACAATTTTTTTTCCTATGATGAGGACTTCTAAGACTACTTTCTTAGCAACTTGAAAGTATATGATATAGTACTGGTAACTATGGTCACTATGCTGGACTTTACACCCCAAGAACCTCTTTATTTTATAACTCAAAGAAGTTTGTACATCTTGACTACCTTCACCCATTCCCGGAGCTGCCTCTGGCAGCCACCAATCTGTTCTTTGTTTCTATGAATTTGTTTTTTTCCCCGAGATTTCTTTCTTTCTTTTTAAGATTCCAATGTAAGTGAGGTCATATGTGTCTTTATCTGTCTGACTTATTTCACTGAGCACAGTGCCCTCATCCACACTGTTGCTTGTAGCAGGGCTTTCTTCTTTTTTATGGCTGAGTAATATTCTCCTTGGAAGTACTGATGCTGAAGCTGAAGTTCCAATACTTTGGCCACCTGATGTGAAGAACTGACTCATTAGAAAAGACCCCGATGCTGGGAAAGATTGAAGGTGGGAGGAGAAGGGGATGACAGAGGATGAAATGGTTGGATGGTATTGCCGACTCAATAGACTTGAGTATGAGCAAGCTCCAGGGGCTGGTGATGGACAGGGAAGCCTGGTGTGCTGCAGTCCACGGGCATCGCAAAGAGTCGGACACGACTGAACTAACTGACTGAATATTCTCCTAGATGCTCTGATATAAACTGAACTGTTTCATAGCTTCTGGAGGCCCAGCCCTGGAATGTCTCGGATCAGCACCCCCAGGAATCTAGGAGTCAGACGCCTGGGTCCCGATTTGCTTGGTCGTCTGGCTCTGCAGACTGGGACTGCTCTCACACCACACTCCCCACACCCTCACCCCATGTGGTGGGGGAGGGAGGGGATGCGAAACAGCTGTCCACATCCACATCATTCCAGTCAGTGCGATCTTCTAGAAAGGTCTGCTTAGAAGGTTATCAGCTGTCCAGCGCTGTTTCTTCAAGTATGCCCTTTCCACTATTTATGCTTTGGGGATGCTGGCTCTGTACTGTTTGATCTCCTATCCCAGTAGCGTCCCAGAGGCAGGTGCCATATTGGTAAAGGTTGAACATGAGGCCGCAGGCTCTTCCCAATGTTGGGCACACACAGGTGCTAGTTCCTTCTCATGGGATCAGGTTTTCCCATCTTTCCTTCCCTCTTTCACCACTGTCATCCTCGTCACTGCCTGACTTCTCTCCTGTTCCCGTCACTCTGCAACCTTCCTCAATTGGAATGATGGCACAGGGCGGTAAAGCCAGCTGTGGGCAACAGTGTACACAGAAGGGGAATTTTTAAGGCAGATAAGTAGCTGCTATTTGCCAGAGCACCCTACTGGAGCACAAAGTCTGTGGAAATACGGTATTAGCAGGTTACCAGTTGGAGCACAAAATTAAATTTTCACAAGCAAATATTTGTCCATAGTAATTTAAACCATTTTTTATTCCGTTTACACATGAGGGGGCAGTATGGTACTATAAAGCAAATGCTCTGTTGAAATTGTTTATTTCTGTTGGTATATGATAGCTTTTAGATGAGAACTTGTAGATTGTGAATATAATTCTGACATGTTGGTTAGCTAGTAAATGTGATACATATATGTGGTACCCTCACTTGTATACACAGATCATACACCTATTTTTATTCAGATGCATAAATAATAATCTCTGTGCAACAATGGGGCTTTCCCTCAGTGCCTTTTATTGTGAGTTTTATATTTATGGTTTATTTAATGCTAGCTGACTTTCTCCAAGTATCTACGTTTAGAACATCAGTGCTCTGGAGATACAGTGTCTGTTAGGGTGATGTCTAAATATTTTATATTAGGACTGCATTGAAGGCTGAAGGGACTCCAGTGTTGGGGATGCGAAGCTTCTGAACTCAGGTCTTGGCAGCAATGGAAATTTTGTTATAAATCACCTCTATGATATGCTTCCCTATATGGCACAGTTTGGAGCGTCCCAGGTGGCACTAATGGTAAAGAACCCTTTTGCCAGTGCAGGAGACTGAGAGACATGGGTTTGATCCCTGGATAGGGAAGATGCCCTGGAGGAGGGCAGGGCAACCCACTCCAGTATTCTTGTCTGGAGAGTCCCATGGACAGAGGAGCCTGGCAGCCTACAGTCCATAGGGTCACAAAGAGTCGGACAAACGACTTAGGACGCACGCATGGCGCAGCTTGCGATTCTCAAAGAAAAAAATGTTGCTAAGGAAAGAATCAGCACATTTTAATTAATGTTGTTGTTGCTGACAGATGAATGACACTGTAGATAATGAAGGTGCTGATGTTCTAGGTTTCCTAAATAGAGGGGAAGTATTTAAGGGAGGTTGGAGGGTATTAAACAAATTGATTGAACATACAGAGCATTTTATGAAAAATGTATGTGGACTCTGAAAGGTAATTTCATAAGCACAGGCTATTTTTAAATGTGTAAAAAATATTTGCAGTCGTATGTTTCTGTTTATGTAGTTTGAAAAAAAAATTGAAACTAGCGTTCTGGCATAAATATAACCCTGTGTGAAATTGAATGGGATATTTGTCTTTAGTGTTTTATCCTGGTTGCTTCCTTTGTGGATGAAGAGCTGTGGCATTGTCAACATCTGGTGGAGATGATTAGACTTGTTTAGTTTGGGCATGACTCTATTTTGAAATATAATGATTTGATGTTGCTTTTACTTACTGTTAATGAGAAATTTTATTTTGAAATCTTCTGTTAAAAAATAGATAAAAGATTTATGACTTATGCCCAAAATTTAAAGGCATGGATTTTTGGCTCCAGCAGCCCATTTTGGGTAGACTCCAAATCAAATGTTGTTTGGGATTGGTATACTCTTGCAAAACCCAAGTTTCTGTTCATGGAAAACAATTAATGTCCTTTGTGTTTCGATGGCAGATTTTTAGGACCCTGCCTGATGCCACATTGCCTGAGCCAGTCCCCCTGTCAGCACCCCCAAATGCTCCGCCAAGACAATCGAAGAGGCAAGGCCAGAGGACTAAGAGACCCGTGGCTGTATATAACCTCTGTCTTGAACTAGAAGATGGTAAGATGTTCATTACATTTTTCTTCTTGCCTTTGTCCCCAGGGGAGGCCATGGTTTCCCATCCTTTGTGTTTTTAAACTTCCTTCTACCTTTAAGATTATAATTTTTTGAGATTAACAGGGAGGGTAAAGCTTTTGTGTCAGGGAGAGCATGCAAAGTTTCAGTCTGTGTTTGTCTTTGTTATGCACGGTTCTTTTTTTACTTTGAAAAAGACAGCTTACATTTCTTTTTTGGGAGGCTTGTGTGACCTCCTGTGAGGTTACATAACCCTGAGACAAATGCAAGAGGAACTAAAATGAAAGCAGGTCTTTTGCGAGAGGAGCAGATCCCGTCTGATGTTCAGTGCATTGAGATCAAAGGCGCAGGTCATGGTTGCACTGGGTCTGTGCTTCTGTACCATCCTTGCCCCAGTTTTCTGACTTTCTCCTGAGGCAGGTGTCTTATCCACTGGCAGAGGTGGCAAATTGACCACGGTCGGGGCTTGCCTGAGTGGACCAAGCTACACTGGGGCTCTGATCAGTGGAAGCCCTCACTTTCCATCCAAACCACCCTGTTCCAGCTCACTCTTGTCCTGTGGTTGCCACCTGTCTCAGCATTGCCACCTGTTTCAAATTGGAATTTTAAACAGTGATCCTTACAGAACAAGGCTGTGAGCTCATTAGACACACCCAGTTGCTGATTTGTGACCATGTGGTCAGTGGTGTGGAGAATAAGATTGAAACTACCAAGGTTTTATTGGTTTGGCGGTATGAGCTGATTGTCAAAGGGAGGGAAGAAATGATGATAGAAACAAATCCAGTACCTCCATCATACGCAGCTGTATAATCAAATATCCACATAGCTGATATCCAAAGATCCAAGCCAGCAAGTGACATGTGTCTGTAACTCCCAGGGGGTCTGTGCAGAAGGACTCAGAATGCCTCCTGTAATAACATTGAGGGCTAAGGCATTCCAATATTCTTTTAAAGTATTTAAGACATACATGCATGTGATATAAGTGTTAGTTTTACAGTCATATCCATATTTTCCAGAGTAAGGGCATGATTTGTTGTGTTATTGCCTTAGCCGTGTCCAACTCTTTGCAGCCCTATGGACTGTAGCCTGCCAGGCTCCTCTGTCCATGGAATTCTCCAGGCAAGAATACTGGAGTGGGTAGCCTTTCCCTTCTCCAGGGGATCTTCCTGATCCAGGGATTGAACCCAGGTCTCCCACATTGCAGGCGGATTATTTACCATCTGAGTCACCAGGGAAGCCCTATGATTTAAAGCAACCTAATTTCAGAGCCGCCTTTTAGTCCTTGGTTTCAGCTTCTTAGTCCAGCTAACTCTCTATCCTCTCCTCTTTTTTTTTTTTTCCTCACATTCACTGTCTCTCCAGAGTTGCTAATAAGGAGTAAAGCTGACTGGTTTGAATTGCACCTTGCCTTTTATCTCACTTGTCCTTTGGTGGAAGTGTTAAAAGATTAGTGAGTGAGTCAGCATATATTGGAAAGTAGGAGGGGGAAAGAAATCAAGGTGACAGGAAACAGTACCTACACAGGCTCGTCAACTTTGAGCAAAATCGAATTGGCTCTCATTTCATAAAAGAAATGATCAAGGAAGGACCTTTTGTTTTAGAGTTGCATCTACTTGGGGGGCAGGTATTTTTAGCAACTGAATCAGAGTATCCAGTCATGTGAATATAGTTTACTAATCTTTTGATCATTGGGTTGTTGAGTGATTATTTTTAATGGGTAAGAAACTGCTGAAGTGGTATTTAGCATATTTTTTATGGATATATTCAAAATGGTGTACAATCATAGCTTTTCTGATTTTTAACATAATAATTCTTTAAAATTTTTAATTATAAGGAAAAAAGATTGACAGATATTTAATTCCTTTAGTCTGTTTTTATATTCACTATTTATATGATGTTTTAATCTACATTTTGTCTTTTTATAAACTTTTTGTTAATTCTTGATTTCAGCCTTTGTTTTTTTTTTTTTAATATTGTTACGATCACAAAAGCTCATGATTTTGGTTATGGAGTGATTTTATTTTATCTCACAGGTCATAAGATATAAAGCAACTGAAAACTGTTATTTATCTTCTCCCCTCACCCCAACTATTTGTAGCTCAGCTTTAGTGAAATTCAAATTTTGTAAAAAAGAATTGTTTCAGAGAGAACAAAGTGGGAGCCATATTTCGCATATTCTAAAAAAGGAAATAAATGAAGAGATGGTGAAAATGCTTTTGAAAGGAAGCATACAGAAAAAGAATACTAAAAAGTTTTGTTATTGATTACTTAGCATACTGAAAAAACTACCATTTAAAAAAAAAAAACCTCTTCATATCACCAGGACTAAATGTTTTTCAGCTCTATTTGGAATTTTCAAAAGTTTAATATTTTTATGCATTTTTTCTTATTTATGGTCATTGGGTCACTTCTCATGTTTATCTAGTTTTGGTTAAAGTATGCGTTATAGCCAACTTTGGTTGATTTATTTTTCCAAATTGTTTGGTTTGAGTCCAGTAGAAAATTTAAATGCAAGTGTGTTTCCACCCTTACCCTCTATTTATTCACTGTGGTACAAGTTAGATTTAACAAAGTCCAGTACAAATAATTTTTTTTTAAAGTTAGATAATTTATTTGCCAAGATTCAAGGAATTAGTTTGGATGACTAGAGATTTTCCTTTTTTCTTTCTTTCTTTTTTTTTTAAATGTTTTACTAGCATACAGTTGCTTTGCAGTGTTGTGTTATTTGAGAATTTTCTTAAGCTTTTTCAGTCACAGATGTGGTATTTGAGTGAAGTGGTTTGTAGTATGTTATTTCTTCTTCTGTATGCAGTAGGGTGTGAAACTATAATATGTGATGTATGGAACAGCCAACCCTGGAAAACACTTAGAATTGGTTTCAGTTCAACATGTAGCAAATCAGAAAGTCATTATTACCAGCCAGCAAGCCTGATGGCATGAGCTGAAGTAGGATAGGCTTGAAAAGTGGAGTCCTAGCTTTGCCTGTGTGAACTGGGAGAGACACCCTCTGCTGTTACACATGGTTCTTATTATGTTTTTTTAATCCCCCCCCCAAATTAAATTAAAGATACTTAGTATCTTTACTTTCAGTTCAGTTCAGTAGCTCAGTCGTGTCCGATTTTTTGCGACCCCATGAATCACACAGCACACCAGGCCTCCCTGTCCATCACCAACTCCCGGAGTTTACTCAAACACATGTCCATCGAGTCGGTGATGCTATCCAGCCATCTCATCCTCTGTCATCCCCTTCTCCTCCTGTCCCCAAACCCTCCCAGCATCAGGGTCTTTTCCAATGAGTCAACTCTTCGCATGAGGTGGCCAAAGTATTGGAGTTTCAGCTTCAGCATCAGTTCTTCCAATGAACACCCAGGACTGATCTCCTTTTGGATGGACTGGTTGAATCTCCTTGCAGTCCAGGGGACTCTCAAGAGTCTTCTCCAACACCACAGTTCAAAAGCATCAATTCTTTGGCACTCAGCTTTCTTTATAGTCCAACTCTCACATCCATACATGACCACTGGAAAAATCATAGCCTTGACTAGACAGACCTTTGTTGACCAAGTAATGTCTCTGCTTTTTAGCATGCTGTCTAGTTTGGTCATAACTTTCCTTCCAAGGAGTAAGCGTCTTTTAATTTCATGGCTGCAGTCACCATGTGCAGTGATTTTGGAGCCCCCCAAAATAAAGTCTGACACTGCTTTAGCAAAGGTTTAATTGGCATTGACACATTTAACCATATTGCATACGTAGGCTCATTATTTCCCTTTGTTAATACATGATTTAATGATATTAGACTTGTTATTTGCAGGAAACTTTGCAATTTAGTTTCCTAAGGACCTCTGCTGATGATTAATATGAACTGAAATGGGTATAGTATCTAGCTAGATTTCTAGAGCAACTGTTAAATCTTCTCTGAAATTCTTATCTTATTATTTTGTAGAAACCATATTGTTCACTTTAATATAGCATTTTATACTCTCAAAACCTTAAAGCTGAGTAGCTTTAGCTAAGTCAGTTGAGAAATAGTGAAATATGAGGTAGGCTGCTCAGTGCTAAAAAGTAGATGAAAAAATCAAAGACTCCTTTTTATTTTATTCTCAATTTATGTTCCTGTGTTTTTATTTCCTCAGAAGTGGTAGTAAAGTAACTTTAAAAAAGTTAATGTATGTTGTGTTTTTGTTTTCACCTGCCCACTCCAAATTTACATCCTTATTACCTCTTTTTTAATCACATGGATTTCAGATGTACATTATAATTTGGCATCTGTATACACTAGAGGTTAATCACCAGCACAAGTTAGTTATCATCCATCACCATACAGTTGACCTTCAACCCTTTCATCCACTTCCCAACCCTCTTTCCCTCTGATAACTGCTAATCTGTTTTCTGTATCTATGTATTTGTTTTATTTTGTATTTGTTGTTTATTGTTTATTTATTGTTTATTGTTGTTTTGTTTTTAAGATTCCATATGTGAGTGAAGTAAAGAGTATTTGTCTTTTTCTCTCTGGCTTACTTCATATAGTAAAATACTTCCAGGGTCCTTCTGTGTTGTCACAGACATCAAGATTCCATTCTTTTTCATGGCTGAGTTACATATATACATATGCAATATGTATGGTACACACACATATCCACTCATCTGTCAGTGGACACAGGTTGTTTCCCACCTCTTGGCTGTTATAAATAATGCTGCAGTGAAAATCGGGGTGCATGTGTGTTTTAGGATTAGTGTTTTTGTGTTCTTCAGGTGAGTACTCAGAAGTGGAATAGCTGGGTCACGTGGCAGTTCTATTCTTCATCTCTTGAAGAACTGTTTTCCCTACTGGCTGTAGCAAGTCACTCTCCCACCCGCAGTGCTCCAGGGTTCTCGTTTCTCCACAGCTTCTCGGCATTTTCTTGTCTTTGAGAACAGTCATTCTAACAGGTGTGTGGTGATACCTCATTATGGTTTTTGGTTTGCATTTTCCTCATGATGGATGATGT